GTATATATGTAATCATTGCAGTTTTTTTTCTTTTCTTTTTTTTACTGACAAGAACAGAACCATAACTTGAATGCTGTGGACACCGAAACAAAAATCCTGCCCAAAGTATTCAGCTTTGCCAGCGTCTTGCCACAAATCCATTGAGTAAGATTGTTGGAGCAGTCAGGTGTTTTGTTTTACAGTGTATTAGCCTCTGGAGTGCACACTGTGTTTTGAACTCAGTGTCGTACCTACTGAGGGAAACCCTGAGGAAATGATGATTGTGCACAGAAAATACGATAGATAGAACTGTATTAATATTCATGCTCTTTGAAGCCATTTTCTTTCCCCGTGTCTTTTTTTTTTCATCTTCTGCTCCCGATGAAAAAAAAAAAAAAGATGAAAAGACCTGTGGACCTCATGAATTTYGCTGCGAGAATAACAACTGCATCCCAGACCACTGGAGGTGTGACAGCCAGAACGACTGCGGAGACGGCTCAGACGAGGAGAACTGCAGTGAGTACCTGACGGCGTCACGTGCTGTTTGCTCTGTTTGTTTTGGTTTTAAACACCACTGATGCTCTGCGTGCGCTGTAAAGAATTTAATCCCTCAGGAGGATACCTGGCTGCTCGTTCCAACACCTCAAATACCGTGTGTCCCACGTTCACAAATACATACCTAGGGACACAGTCAGACTGATACGATTGTTCCATTTTCACAACAAGACCGCCTGACTCAACTTTCTCTTTCATAATCTTTATTTTTTTTTTTATTTGAGCTGCTTTCTTGGGAAGAAAGTCTTAAACCCCTGAGCTACTTTCTATCAACGTGAAATGACACCACCAACCCACCTTGTTAAATTTCACTTGTTTATTCAAAGTTCTTTTATTTGTGTTTGTGTGGCTGGAACTGTTTGCCTGAACATTGTATGAATAAATGCTCACTTCCTGTGTGCTTTTGCAGAGTGTGCACATTTTCCATGATTTATTAGGTGCTTGAGTCCCCACACCTATTAATGTCACTTAAAATGCAAATAAAGGCCAGTCAAGAGTCGGATGGAAGGAAGGGAAAAATATAAATAAATAAGTGGATAAAAACATAAAGCAGCTGGACTTGCAGACAATAGCGGTGCTGCAAATCAGATCTCTGCTGCAATGCCTGCTGGGAGTCTGTCTTGCAGCACCACTTACACCGCACATCCCGAGTTCACTAACAGGACATGATAACAAGGGGGTGGGCTCGGAAAATGGATCTGATCCAACTGTTTAACTACGTCCAAATATTGTCCTCGGGGACACTACTACCGCTAAATGGCGGATTGGCAGAGACAAGATATTTGGCTACGCTGAGAACTTTTTTTTCCGTCCCTTACTGTGAGAGCAGCAATTAAGGTGTTTACATTCTGATCACGGTTGCCAGTTTATTCACAGATACAACATAATGACACTAAATGATTAAAATGGATTTACTTTAGCATGCTTTTTTCTTCCCCTAAATATAAAAAAAATAATTGCTGTATCAGGGGATGAACGTTGTGTGTAGCAAAACACTAGGATAAAAAACAGAATTGGCATGATTTCTGTGTTTTGTGTTTTGTTTACGCAGAGGCAGTCACCTGTAACCACAAAGACTTTGCCTGCACCAATGGCGAGTGCATTTCCTCCCGATTCCGCTGTGATGGAGATTATGACTGCTTGGATAATTCGGATGAGGTCAGTGTTTGAAATCGGAGCCCTGTCTAAAGAGATAGAGCATCGTGCAATTATTAAAATCAAATACTTTAAAAAAAATCAATACTCTCAAAATAATTGACATTCTCATTTCCTCTGACCCTGTATGTGGCTGTTTTGTTTAAATACTCATGTATTATATTATCTTGTGTTGACTGATCTATAATCAGTGGGTCAGTGATAGCTAGTATTACAATTACAGGTTGATATAGCAGAAGAGTAATACTCTGAAAACAATGCAAAGGGACATAGAAAGGCCTCATAAACTGTAGTGGATATGAGCCAAATTATAGCACATGAGTAGTGTAATTTAGTCTCTWATTGATCACCTGTCAGGACTGCTTGTATAGCTCACCGCACAAGCCTGGATTAAATATCCAAACTGTAAGAGAAAGCTGAAATTAGATGCACATATCTCTGTTTGCAAAGAAATAATCCCATTGGAAGTATTTTTCATTGTGCTTATCCAAATCTCCCTGTCATGGTCGCCACATTCCAGAACAATGCTGGACAGGATACATCACCGTGATGAATTATTGTGCTTTCAAGTGCATTAGTGCATGAAATACCACATATTCATTTCCCAATGGAAATCCTAATCCTCCCTGCCTTTCAGCCCCAACAAAGGCCAMTTGTTTTGTTCATTTATATCTCTATTTAAGAAGCTTCAAATTGCTTGTTGTAATTTGACAGTAATTTTATGGGAAGAATTAAAACTAAATGTGAGTTTAGTTTAGCATTGCATGGAATAACAGGATTTTATTTTTGTACAAGGTTCATGTGAAATAAAAATAAATAAATAAACAAAAGAGAAGAAAAAGCCCAGCCACGGGTAATAATTTGATGTTATTCATAATTCAAGGACAAGAGCTCTTTATTCCAATACATTATTTGTGTTAATTTATTATCCTCTTTAACATTTGCTCTGTATTTTTATTTTTATTATTTTTTTATTTTGCAAAAAAATAATATTCCAATGCAAATTGGTGCAACCCTAATTAACCCATAATTATGTTTTCCCCAAAGACCATATTTAGTGTTTTCAATGAATTTCAGCAAGAGTTTCAACTGGCAGTGAATGTTTGATGATGTCATGTTTGACACACTGGGTTAGAATACTAACCTTGATATTATATAGAAATATATTACATAGAATAATTTATTTTCAGTCTTTTTTTTTCTTCTCACTAACATGAACATGTCATAAACCTTTAAGTTGTTCATGTGTTGTGTATGTCAGGTTGTGATTGAGTTGATAAAACCGATATATAACACAAAATGATGGAAATGTGTTATGGGCAGAAGGTGCAAAACATGTTTGCATAATTTGAAAGTACACATATTTAATTTTAGTTCTAACAGTAAACTTCAATGGTGTGCTTGTGACTTTGAAACACTAATGCATAACTTTATGAAAATGTTGCCACTGGCTGTGTTTTGCAAGCTTTACTTATCGCCACTTTCAGGCAAAACTTTGCTTTCAAAACACAGCCAGTGGCTACATTTTTTTATTTTCTTTTTCTCCACTTTTCATCATTTTTTATGTTTTTGCATGAACTGTTTCTACAGGTCACCCTTCAAAACTGTCTGTGGTTTTATAGATGGCAAAAAAAAAAATGAAAGGGGCTAAAAAAAACAACAAAAATGGTGATCTTGTGACCACGCTGTAGCTTTTTTTGAAGATAATTTTCTAACAGCAACAATTTTTGTCAAGCAATCAAAAAATGGTGAAAAAAAATTCTAACCTGTTTTTTTACTTTGATGCCTTTTGTGAAAATTGAGCTTTAAATATAGCAACAGGATTACAACGGTGCATAATTAGCTCTCAGATTCACATGTTCAAAGTCCTGTGGAAATGTTCTGAAGCAATTTAATTTTCACTAAGTCTGCATTAAAGCTGCCTGACAATACTTAAATCTGACTTACGTGTCACATCAATTTTAAACATTATTCTTGTCCTTTTCTCAAACCAGATCATTGCTTTTTTGTTGTTTCTTAAAGAAATAACATATTGAAACTGAGTTAAGTTTAAATAAATGTTAATAAGGTGTTTTAAAGGTTATTTTGGAATTGGCTGTTATCTTATGACATAAAATATCCATTTTATAACTACTGTGTGTTGCAATAATGTTTTTTTTTTTTTGCGAGATTAGATTGTTACTTGAATCTTTAAATTTGTTCACAGAAAGGCTGTGAGGCACATTGTGCGGATGACCAGTTTCGATGTCACAACAACCTGTGCATCTCGCTTAAATGGGTTTGTGATGGTCAAGAAGACTGCAAGATGGGGGAGGATGAAAAGAGTTGTCAGCAAACAGGTGAAAGCTTCGAAAATATCTACCGTATTTATTCGAGTATAGTACGTAAAATTTAATCCATAAAATCATGCACAAAGTTGGGGGGTAGTACTATACTTGGATAAATATTTTTGCTGATGTATTTTAACTGGAATATCGGCCTCATTCACAAAAACCCTGAGTCTGGAAATGAAACCCCGTCATAAAAAGCGGTTGAAGCGAGCTTACCTCTGACACTTCTTTGTGCCTCCAAGCGAGATAGTAAC